GGGGGCTGGGGAAAAAACTTTATATAGACAACGCATCGCATGCATAAACTACAGAATTCCTTTTAAAGCGTAAAACTGCATCCGATAGATACAAAGATGCTCACAGACACAAACTCACACACAGACCAAAGATACAAGCTGAGAGACTTTTCCTCGGTCTATTCACCCATCTGTGAGTGCCGCACTTCGTTCGTAGATGTGCGCTCTCAGCGACTTATTGGTGTGCGTTTCTCTCCGTGTATTTACTTTTCACATTGCATTGCTCATATTTACTTAAAACTCAATTTGCAAACATTTTCCTCAGCCCTTTGTTTGCTCAAGTTTCAGTTGTGGTTCTTGTTTCTTTTCACCAGCCAGCTTTCCTTTTATTTCGTATTTAATACACATTACATTTTTATAATTTATACAAGAAGGAGAGCATTGAAAATCTACAGGTAGTAACTCAGTTGGCAGAGAACGGCTCTTAAGCTAATGAATGTAATTGAAATAAATTTTGAAGTCTTATAATTAATAAGAATCCAGTTAATCCTGAACATATTTCAGTCAACAACTAGGAATTAACATTTACATTTAGTAATATGTTCTTAGCAAACTGTTGTGGAATAAATATATATCAAATGCGCCAAGGAATTTATAATTCAGAACTGAATGTCATTTTAATATATCAAGCGATGCACCTGTTCACTCAATGCCTACAAATTGTGTGTGGTGTGTGTTGTGTTGAATGTATATTGATCTCGTTTGAAATCCAACTGATATTCAAACAAGTTCTCCAGTTTCGAAAGCAGCTAATGTGGATTTCACAAACAAAATCAAGGTTATATATTATCCGTAAATCGATCCCACTCATAACTCCAATCCTATAGCAGCTATACTTTCCGCCTTTGAAGCTTTTATTTCTAAGTGCTTGCTAAACAATCGAATTATTTGTATAAACAGCCATGACATCAGCAACTGCTGACAGCTGAGTAGAGTCGAGTGGGAGTTGCATGGTTGCAATGGGAGCGGTGGCACCAACACAGCTGCAGGATGCACAAAATCAATGTCAAAGCCTGCTGAGTTTAGTTCGGCGGGGCAAGGACATGGGGCATGTGGCATGGGGACAGTGCGAAAGAGCGAGCGGCAAGCTCAGAATCACCGCTTGACTGGCAGCATATGCACTGTGGTTCAGTGTGGTGCTGTGTGGTGCTGTGTGGTGCTGTGTGGTTCTGGATGCCCCAAGTACCTCCTGTACCTCCTGTACCTCCAGTATTCCCCTGGCACATCCTCCTCATATGTGCTTCCCCAACTGGTTTCCAGCTGTGATGACTGCTGGGCGATTCGAAGGGCACGAAAACGGGTCGGGAGGGGACTGGACTGGAGAGACAGGAATAGTTCTCCAGCAATGTTAGTTCAAGGGCGGAATCAAGGCTGAGCTCGGTTTTGGAGCTCCATGCTATAAATAGCGGCTCTCTCTGTCTATCCAGACGGCATAGTGGCCTCTCTGTCGCTCAGTACACCACACGGCGTATACGCAATAGCTGCAACTCACCACAGAAAAGGAAATTGCACGGCATGTCCTTCGGCGTTCGCTCGGTCCTTGTTGTTGGCATTGTTGCATGCGGCTTGGCATCCTCTTTGCACTTGAACCATTGTCCTTTGGCACCTCTACCCATCCCTTTTGCACTTGCCCAACAAAAAATGTGCAGTTCAAATGGTACGAAAGCAGGAAGTAGGAAAAGTACTGTCATTTCTTGTATATTTTTTGCCTTTTGCTTGCAAAGTTTTCAAGTCCTGAAAGGATTCTATAAATTCACATTTACTTTGATTTTAGTTTTTCAAATGGTAAGCATTCCTGCTTATGGTGCTTTTATGTCCTTTGTTCGATATCATTTATATATCAAGTTTTATCGTCTCTTTTTTTATAAAGTTTCAATTTTAAAGTCTTTTATGAGCTCAGTAAGATCAGGTTTTGTTTTTAGAAATGTACTTAAAGTAGTCTAACTATTTTAAAGCTGATTGCAAGAAAAGTTTCAATTACAGCCATTCTATTTAATAATTGAACAGTCTCCGCAACTTTTGTTTATTGTTTTGAGTTCTGATTTCTATGGAAATGCTGATGATGAGTAATTCTAGTTGTAGATACACAACATGAGCCAATGGCCGAGAGAGGGACAACCACCAAGTGCAATGGAATGCCACTGGGGTTCGCAGAGAATTTAATAATTGCACTGCCCACTCCACTTTAAATACTTCACTCAAGGTCGAAAGGAAACGCCGTCGGACCATGAGTCAGAATTTTTAATTCATGGGAGTAAGATTATAAAATATGAACAATGCAACTCTTTCAGGATAAAAATTTCTACATTTTCTACATATCACAGCACAAGTTCAAAAACAAAAGAGTATCATAGCGGTTCTACTGAGTTTTGAGACTCAATGGGTTCTGAAAAGCTTTGAAACTCGAATGGAAACACTTTGGAAAGCCTTTTTACATATGGAAAGGAGAAAAGACTTGATTTTTATTCACATATTAGGTGTTCGCAATGTCGAAAACTACTTGAGAAGCATGCTGTGTGGCACAAAAGTGAAGCTACTGGCTCCACAGCTTGCTTTAAATACAAAAATGTATTGGAAAACGCGAATAATCTGTTTATTATCATTATCAGTCAAGGAGGAAGCCATTGGAGGCAAAGGCCGAGTGCATTCAACTGTCGTTGGCATGACGCGCATTTCAATTTTATAAATAAAAGAGGAAAAAGGCAGCAAGAGAAGGGATGGAGCGGGAAATTTGAAATTTATTAAAGTTCCCTACTTTTGTAGATATATTCGAATATTCTCCAGTAAATGTACTTTTAATTATATTTTTAAGTACTTTTCGAGCTGCTTTTTCTTTTCGCAGGCGAACAAAAGCGCCCGAACACCACTGCAATTTGCCTTGAGTTGGAGTATCTGTGTGTGCTGCGGCTGCCTATGTGTGTGTGCATGTGCATGCGCACTGCCAATTGCAATTTGTTGTTGTTGGCTTTCGTAGGGCCCCTGCACGTTGTTTTTGTTCTTTATTCGCTTTTGGCCTGCACTTTGCCTCTGCCTCTCGCTGTGTGCATGTGTGCATGTGTGCGTGAGAGTCGTGTGTGTATGGGTATGACTTCATTTCCTTTGTCGTAGGTCATCATCAATTGCACAGAAAATGCGTTTTAATTGCCTTCAATTGGGTTTCGGCCGGAAAATTGCACAGCTCCCTCTGTTTTATTTAAGATTGATTTTATAGCATAAATAAAAATGGTTCGTAAACATAATTCAACCATAAAATCTACTAAAACGTTTACAATTTAATAATTTACATGTAAGAAAAAAACAGAAGTGTGTAGTTTTTTAAGCTTTGTCACATAATGCACGATTGAAGTTCATTACAAAACAGGGTTTAAAATTCCGCGATTCCTTCTGCGATTGAGATTTAATAAAGGTTTTAAGTGCTCCCAAAACGGGTGTTATCAGAAAACAACTTTTTATTGCATTAATTGAGTGTTTAATTTGTTTGTTAATAATAAGTGGTATTTTGTTTTAAATAGTTGGTTACATATCACGCACGTTTTCTTCATTTTTCTCTGTTACCCGATCACCATTTTAAGTATGACAATTTGTCGAGTTCTTTGATTTCAGTCAATATTATTTGTTATTTATTAACGTTTTTATTGCATTTAGCGCTGCATTACCGCCAGCTCCAAGCATTGCAAACTCGCGTCCCACACTGACAAAAGGGTAGAGAACTTATTCACCAACGCATTTCGCTGTCGCTGCCAGGGTTGCCACCGCGCAGAAGGCCCCACAAAATAGGGAAAAAAGAGTGCGGAGACGGGCAAAAATGGTAATAAAAGCAAATGAATCGCACCAAGTGCATCCAATGCACACATACAAACACACACATACAAAGGCTTGGCGAAGGGGGTCGTCAGTGGAGGAGGGGAGGGGGAGGGCAAGCCGGCCGCTTTTTGCGTGGCAATTTGTTTGTGTGTATTGCAATTTCTGACTGCACTCTCCCGTTCTCTTGCTGTCTCTCCCTCTCTCTCTCACACTCCCTCTCGTTCTCTCTCACACAGACATGCACGGAAATACTTAAGATTTGAGCTACATATATTTTTTAATATATTTTCCCTTTGTAATGTGCATTTAATCAATTTTCTCGCTTACCAGTGGCGCAAAAGGAGAATGCAGCCAGACATCCAAGGTTGTTCGTTTATTTCTTATTTTTGATACGACACACTCGATCGCACCTGTCAAATGCAAGTGATTTCCCCCTCAAGACCACAAGAATCCGTCACAATTCGCAGTGTAGTTACGCACACACATACACGCAGCCAATACGAGTACACCCACACGCACACAGCTGCAGCGGGAAGAGGAAGCGCGATTCGCGAACCGCCGTGTGCAACGAGACTTTTGCAAATGAAATGCAATGTTCAGTTCCCAAATCGCCACAAAAGAAAGCTACGTCGACGTCGACGTCGACGCTGACGTCTGCTGCAAAAATGACGCTCCGCAACAGCGGCAAAAATTTTTGCGAGTTGAAAGAGAGCTTGCAGTTTCTCTTAGTCAGGTGGATTGTAATTGCATGTGTGCGCGAGTCCTCTCTTTTTTTCCGGTGCATTTGCAGCTCACTTTTGGTTTTGCAAACGCAAACACAGCGCTTATCTGCGGCTTATACGTTAAAGAACAACTTTTAGAAAAGCGTATGAAAATGTTGCGAGAAATTAATATTTAGGTCTAATTCTGCCTTTACATAAATTCCAATTTTACGCTTTACATTTAAAGCGCTTTTTTCTTATTTATCTTTCGATATTGAAACATCAAATATAACCAAAACAAAGGTATTTTTAAATAAAAGTCCTCGTTTTCACAAAATTCATTTGAAGTTGGCTAAGCTGACAGCTAGAGGGCGCTAGGCAATGCTCAAATATCCCTCGGTTTGTGTATCCGCTAGGCTAGATTGACTCATCACACCGAAAATATCGATTGTCGCAGGCAAACATCGATAAGCCCGAACAGACATCGGTTTCTGCCGCACTCGTGCGAACGTAATTTTAATAATAAGCTCCATTTATTAATTAAAACCGAGCGATTCCGCCATGGCATCCATCCTGAGGACGGGCAAACTACTGCGCTACTTCGCCGGCTTCACGCGAAACGTGCTCGTGAACTCGGTGCGCGAGAACGAGGCCAGCAACCTGCTGAACAATGCGCCCTGCATGTGCGGCCAGTTCCAAAAGTGAGTAAAATCTGGCCACAAAGTGCCGGCATTACGCAATGCAGTCGTGTATTTATGAAAATAGCGGGGAACCATCCACTTTCCAACGATTGAGGCCCGAAAAGTGGTGGACATGCCCTCAGGATCACCGCAATGGTAGCCGACTTGGGTCCCACGTATTTACATAACCTCATCCGGATTGGGAGCGCCTACTATGTGGTCATCCAATTTTGGCCCTAGTCGAGCGTTTTTCTTGCAGCATGTTGAGATCTGTGTGTAGCGTAGCTTAAATGTCTCATTTATATTTCAGAAAACATCACGATTTAATAACAATTAAGCTCAGTCGAGCAGATCATCAGAAAAAAGGTTATAAAGCTTTTAGGAGAAGGAATAGTTATAGCCAACTAATTTTTTCAAATTCATTACTTTCCCTGAATATTATAAATATTTGGTTTTTTATATTCCACTTAGTGGTTTTGCTACGAATGCGGCGGCGAAAGCTGAGCTGAGCTTGGATAAACAGATTCGCCGGCTGGACCAGGATGTTCGCCGGATTGGTCGCATCTCCCGACGCGATCTGGAGGAGGTGCTCGATGAGATCCGCACACACAGGACGGCCACCAGCTCGCAGTCGCTGCTGGTGATTCGCTGCTGCGGAAACCTGGTGCCGGAGGAGCTTCCCGAGGTCAGAACGGCTTTGGTCCAGGAGATCTGGAAGACGCTGAATGCGCTGAACGTACCCATGGACATCTCCCACTACAATGCACTGCTTCGGGTTTACTTGGAGAACGAGCATGGGTTCGCTCCCACCGATTTTCTGGCGGAGATCGAGGCGAAAGGCATCGAGCCCAATAGGGTGACCTATCAGCGGTTGATTGCTCGCTATTGCCAGCAGGGAGACATCGAAGGCGCCACTAGGATTCTGGAATTCATGCGGGCTAAAAGTCTTCCCGTCAATGAGAACGTCTTTAATTCTCTCATCCTGGGTCACTCGCAGGTGGGTCACAAAAAATACATGGTAGTCATGTTTTTATCTAACTTTTAAACAACCCGTTAGGCCAACGATTTGGAATCCGCCAAGGGCATCTTGGGAGTGATGAAACAGGCGGGCTTGGAGCCCAGTGCTGACACCTACACCACTCTCCTGTGCGCCTTTGCCCGCCACGGAGACCTGGCTGCCTTAAAGGAAACCCTAACCGAATGCGAGCAGAAGGAGATCATTTTGCTGGACAAGGATCTGCTGGACATTGTGTACACCCTTACTGTCAACGGCAATGTCGAGAACGTGGATGAGGTTCTGACAAAGCTTCGTCTCTCGCGTGGCTTTAATCAGGATGCAGTGAACGTGATTCTGCGGCTGGTCAACAAGGGGCACGAAGATGTGGGATTGAAACTCCTTCGAGTGATGCCAAGAAGCAGTCGTGTGAACGGCGAGCCCGTTGATGTCGGAGCCTTCTTTATCAGGCAGATGGTTAAGGCTAATCGGCCAGTGGAAAAGATCCTGTCCATCTGCAAGAGCCTTCAATCCGAGGGTCTCAATCCCAAGGCTTTGACTATTGCCACTGAAGCTGGCTTGACCAATGGTGTGGTCAATAATGCCCTTCCCCTGCTGCAAGAAATGAAAAATGCCGGTTTGCCCATTAGACAGCACTACTTCTGGCCTTTGATCTGTTCCGCGGAATCGAATCAGGTTTTGGAAATCGTGCGTCGCATGCAGCAGGAGTTTTCAGTGTTCCCCAACTCCGAAACGGTCAGAGATTATGTCATTCCCAACATGAAGGAAAAGAACTGGGAGAGAATCGTCACTTCTTTGAGGGATGCTGGAATTCCCAACTCCACTGCTGTCACCTCGACCGTCTATTCCGCCTTAGTGACCCACCAAATTGCCGAAGCAGCCAAGATTATGGAGAAGAACAGGGCTTACTATATGCCCTTCTTGTTCAAACAACCTTTGATTCTGGCCCTCAGTCACACGAACGATTATGCCTCCTTCATCCGATGTGTCCGCCAAATTCATGAGGGATTGCAATTTAGGCAAGGCAAGGAGGAGGAAGTTGAGCAGGTAGAAGGCGGAGCTGCTGTTCCGACGGAGCGCATCACTCCCGATGTTGTTGGTGCAATAGTCCAGGAGGCAACCACTTATTTCCGACGAGATCGCGGAGCCACGCTGGAGAAAATCCTCAATGGTTTGGTCAAGCAGGGATTGTCCATTAGCAGTGCCAAAGCCACCCAGCTATCCGAGCAATTGGGTTCCGAACTGACTCCAAGGATTTCCGAACTGCTGGGTAAACTGAGCTCGGGAGAACTTGAACCGGTTCCTCTTCCAAATAGCGGCAAGAGAAGCTTGGATTCGCTGTCCATCGATGGTAAGTTATGGCCCCTTTTGTCGTTAAAAATTATACCTAAGGCCTATGTATTTTTATACAGAACTCGAACGCTTCATAGTGAATGTGGAGGGCAAGGGAGAAAATGCCAACAACATCAAGAGGCAACTTCTGAACGCCTGTTTCCGTTCCCAAAACTTGGAAAAGACCCTCCAGGTCATCGAGAAATTCGAGGCCGAAAAATTCCAGATCCCCGTTGGCATTTATGCCCAGCTCATCGATCTCTACACGCATCACAAGAAAAGCTCAGAGGCATTGGAAACTTACGGCAAACTTAAAGCGAACGACGCCACTTTCCAGTTGGATAACTTTAAGTCTGTTCGTCTGGCTGATCTTCTCTTGCAAGAGGAACGCGTGGATGCTGCTTTTAAGGTACTGGAGGAGAACAAGAAGGAACTTCCTATTGCTGAGGCCGAAGGAAGCTTTAATTACGTGAGCACTGTGTGGAGAATTTTGAACTCACTAGCCGAGGCTGGTCAGCCGGAAAAGCTGCGTAAATTATTTGATGCACTTGTGGGTGCCAATTATATTGTGCCCACCAATGTGCTGCTGGGTCCACTGATCAAGGTTCACTTGGTCAAGGATGATATTCCCAAGGCAATCGAAGCTTTCGAAGAGATTTGCCAAAAGTATAAATCCACTCCTTGGAAGAACGAGCTGGCTTGCCGCCTAATACAGAAGGAAGATGCTACAAATCTGCAGAAGTTAACCGACTTGAGCACTGGCATCCATGGTGAAGTAAACAGCCTTTACGATCTGGTCTTCTCCTTCGTGGAGTGCGGCCGTGTAAGGCAGGCCAGGAAGATCCTGGAAACCCCCGGATTGCGTACCCGTCCTCAAAGAATCAGCAGTGCCTGTGATCGCTACAAGAATGAGGGACTTCTGCAACCCCTGGAAGGTCTTATTGAAGCCACGAAAGACCTGGCACATATCGACAGAAATAAAATTTACTACACCCTCCTTCTAAGCTACGACAAGGCAGATGAGGCGGATAAGGCTCTTGGATTGTGGACTAAAATGCAGGAGGAGAATGTGGCACCGAATGATGCTTTCCTCTTGAAATTGGCAGAAATCCTAAGGAGGAAAAATATTGACGTGCCTTTTGTGGTGCCAGAGACCCAAAAAGAACAAAACAAAGCTAAGAAAAGTAAAGCACAAGATGCAACGACAACAGAAGCTGCAACAGAAACAGCTAAAGTAGCAGAGGAACCCAAGGAGAAGCCTGCGAGAAAGGAGCCAGCTAAAACGGAAACAGTAAAGCCAGCCAAAGCCGCCTCCCATTTGACAGGCTTCCGCAAAGCAATCCTTGCCAATGATCCTGATGCAGCTATTTCGCATAGGCAAAGTGTTCTGAGTGGTGAGAAAGTTGGAGTCTTGGACACCTCTCGACTGATTGAACTCCTGGTTCGAGCTGATCGCTTAACAGAGGCCACCAAATATGTCGAGGAGCTCCTGGGAGATAAGCTGCACCCACAGCCAAAGATCTTCAAGTTTTACCTGAACAAAATTGCTGCTGCAGGCGATTTGGAAACACTGCAGAGAATTGGCAAGCAGCTCAATGAGGAGCAGAAGCGTCTGGTTTCTTTTGACAATCGATTTTGCCATGCTAATATAGTGGCTGGAAAGACGGAGCAGTTCCTCAAGCACCTGACCACGGAAATTGAGGCAGCCAAGACACCCGAGGAGGCAACCAAGCTGGCCGAGAAGTTCCCACGCGGAGGAGCCGTAGGCATTTTGGAAAAACACCCGGAACTTGTGCCGCAATGTAGGTCTTTAGAAACGTGGTATTATACAAGTGCTAAAATTATAAACATTTCATATCATTTCCAGATCAATCCCTCGCTGAGAAGTTTGCTGCTCACAATCAACTAGGGCCCATGAATGTCCTGTGGATGCATCTCATTTCCAGTGGCCAGGAGGCGGCTTCGAAAGAGATTTGGGATAAGCACCTGTCCAATGCCCCAAGGCTGATGTTCCAGCGCGTTTTGCAGACGGCTCGCGAGCAGCAGGACGAAAATCTCGCCTCCACAATCATTTCCCAGCTGAAGAACAGCAAAATCTCCGAGGGAGCGATCGGAAACGCGTACTCCTGCCTCATCGACATCCAGACTACCAAGGGAAACTCTGACAAGGCCATGGATGTGTTGGCCAATGCCATTAAGGACGTCTCCTTGGAAAACATCAACAGGACAGCTCTGCTTCGCTTAAAGCAGGCGGTGGAGGAGAAATCCCAGAAGTTCCCCTACACGATCCCCGAGAAGCGAACGAAGGCCGACGACTCCAGCTCGTCGTCCTCTTCATCCTCCAGCGACGACGATGTGTCGCCATCGGTGCCCGAAACCGTTCCACCCAAACCGGACAGCAAGGCTTAGAGACTCCTGAGAAAGGACCTTCGTTATTTTAGCCCGTCGTGATTAAAGCCTATTTTTAAAGTATGTACTATGGATAAACGCTTTGTAAACTAAAATAAATCTAGTTGTTTTGTTGCGAAAGTGTGTCAGTTATTTTTCTGGGGGATTAACTGGGCGATAAAGGATCTTTTTTACGAACTTTTGAGATTCGTAAAAATTCAGTTTGGATTTCTGATGAAAAATGCATACTTAAAAATCGTTTCAGTCTCCCTCCCAAAGGAAATCCTCGAAATAAGTGGAAACACGCATGCTGTTTTAAGATTGGAGTTAAAATCAGTGTTTTCAAAGTTCGTGTTCTTTTTTCCGGAATCCTTGGTTAATTTTCGGGACGATATTTGAAATTTCTGCATTGTTTGGTTCCCATAAAAAAAAACTTAATTGAAGGACCCATATAACAAAAATTTAAACGCATTTATGTTACATTATAGCAATATGTATATATATTATAATATATTATATTATATATAAATATATATTATATTGCAATTTAAATATTAGGCATGCAAGTCATAGAGACTCGCTGTGTTCAAAAATGTATGAAAGAGTTTAATTTTTGAAATAATTTTCAATAATTTTAATGTGACATTTTTCTATCAAGAACTTGGGTATAAGCTTATATTTAAATATGTTTATTACTTATAAATTCGGATGTGGTTAAAGAAAAAGCACTATCGGTGACTATCGAAACTAAAACGTCGAAATCATAGATTTAAAACTCATATATCGATAACGCCGTCACTGGTGTCCCAGCTCTAGTTCAATCGCCGCGTTGTGTTTTTTGCTGCAAAGTAATTTTCATCGCAGTTTTCCCAGACAAATTTCCGACTTAAGCGCGCGATGGGAGAAAGCGAAGCCGAAAGCGACTCTAGCAGCAATTCCAGCAGCAGCGACACTTCCAGCGGCAGCGACAGTGACGCCAGGAGCGAGTCTTCGTCCTCCGAAAGCAGCGAGCGCGAGGAAGAGGAAGCAAAGCAGAAGGAATCCGCCAAAGATGCCAAGAAAACTAACGATAGGGACAAGGGGGAGAAGCGTGACGCGGAGAGAGAAGCTGGAAAGGATGAGGATCCTGCTGAGCAGAAGAAAAATGCTGCCGAAGAGCCCTCTTCGGAGCGCCAGCGCATTTCCCATTCTGCTGGCGTGGAAAAGCAGCAAGAAGAAGCAGCAGCTGCGGCGGCGGAAAGCGAGAAATTAAATGAAGCGGAAAAAGTAGAAACACCTGTCCAACGGAAAGAGGGAGGAGAAGCCGCAGGTACTACGAAAGAGCTGGAGAGCTCGAAGACCCAAGGGGATCATGCTGCTCGGGAATCAGAAGAGCGCAGGAAGGATGAAGACCAGCCGGTGACCACCAATGGAAGCAGCAAGGAGTCGCCGGTGGAAGCAGCTGCTGAAACAGTTGAACCTCCCACTGCAGACCACATAGAGGAGGGCGAGATAACCGACGTAAGTCCTTAGAGATCCTAATGTTTTACATGATTAGTTAGGATGCAGTATTCTGCAGTATTCCGGTCTACTATGTATTTCGTCATCAATGAAATTCGATATATTTTTTATCAAAAGGTAAACATATGTAAACATTTTTAACAATATTTCTTAGTTCAACGCAATATTTGATGAGCTAGTTTTTTCTAAGAAAATCCTACATATAATTTTAATCATTTTATTTTTCAGAAAGACGAAGATGACAAACAGACAAAAGAGAGTAAGAATCCCGTCGCGGCTAAGAGTCCATCCGAAGAAACCCACCGAAAACAAAGCCGCAGCCCGGATGGCAAACGACGACGGCCACGATCATCCAGCAAGAGTCCATCACCCAGCAGCCGACGTCGTCGTCGCTTGAGGAGCAAAAGCAGCAGAACCCGGAGTCGCAGTAACAGTCCCATCCGTCGGAGATCGAATTCATTGGAGAGAAGGCGCGTTGAACGACAGAGACGTCACGAGGAGCGAGATAAACGTGATGAGGAACGGGCCAAGGAGCGTGAAAAGCGACATCAAAAGGGTGACAACTCAGGCAGCATGCGTAGAGATGACTCCAGGGAAAAGAAGAGGTCGCCAGATCGCAAAAGAGATCGATCCTCCTCCAGTCCTGGATCCAAATCATCGAAGACCGCTCGCAACACCGAAACCACGAATGCAGATAATGATACCGTTACCGAACCGGCTGCAAAAATTACTGAGCGGCAACGAAAGACCGTGGATGTGTTGACCTCTAGGACTGGAGGTGCCTATATTCCGCCGGCAAAGCTGCGCATGATGCAGTCGCAGATCACGGACAAAGCATCCGCTGCCTATCAGAGAATCGCTTGGGAGGCCCTTAAGAAATCGATCCACGGTTACATCAACAAAGTCAATGTAACAAATATAGCCATTATCACCAGAGAGCTCTTAAGAGAGAATATCGTCAGGGGAAGGGGCTTACTTAGCAGGAGTATCATCCAAGCACAGGCTGCTTCGCCCACATTCACCCATGTATACGCCGCTCTGGTGAGCATTATAAATTCAAAGTTTCCGAATATAGGAGAGCTCCTCCTCAAACGTCTGGTCATCCAATTTCGTAGGGCGTTTCGACGCAATGATAAGTTTGTTTGCATGTCGGCCACACGATTCATTGGTCATTTGGTCAACCAGAGAGTGGCTCATGAAATTCTGGCTCTAGAAATCCTTACCTTGCTGGTGGAAACGCCAACGGATGATTCTGTAGAGGTAGCCATCGCTTTTCTGAAAGAGTGTGGTATGAAACTGACTGAGGTTTCGTCCAAAGGCATTGGGGCCATCTTCGAGATGCTGAGAAACATCCTACACGAGGGAAAGTTGGACAAGCGAGTACAGTATATGATTGAGGTGCTGTTCCAGATTAGAAAGGATGGCTTTAAGGATCATCAGGCTGTTGTTTCGGAACTAGAGCTCGTTGAGGAGGATGATCAGTTCACCCATCTGATGATGCTAGATGAAGCCACTGAAACGGAAGATATACTAAGTGAGTTTATCTATGAAAAAAGTTAATTTACATTAAAATTCTAACCCTTTTAACGTTTTATTTCAGATGTTTTTAAATTTGACGACAATTATGCCGAAAATGAGGAAAAATACAAAGGGCTGAGTCTCGAGATCCTGGGCAGCGACGATGGCAGTAGTTCAGGGTCGGGCTCTGGATCAGATTCGGATAGCGATTCGGACGGAGAATCAGGATCCGATGCGGAAAAGAAAGCGGAAGGTGGTGACATCATTGACAGCACTGAAACCAATCTGATTGCCCTGCGACGCACAATATACTTAACAATCAACTCTAGTTTGGATTATGAGGAGTGTGCCCATAAGCTGATGAAAATGCAACTGAAACCCGGACAAGAAATTGAGCTCTGTCACATGTTTCTCGATTGCTGTGCGGAACAGAGAACATATGAGAAGTTTTACGGACTGCTAGCCCAGCGGTTCTGCAACATCAACAAGATCTACATACCGCCCTTCGAGGAGATTTTTAAAGACACCTATCAAACCACCCACAGATTGGATACGAATCGTTTGCGGAACGTCAGTAAGTTCTTCGCACATCTCCTATTTACCGACGCCATTAGCTGGGATGTGCTGGAGTGCATCCAACTGAACGAGGATGATACCACATCATCGAGCCGGATTTTTATAAAAATCCTGTTCCAGGAGCTAGCTGAGTATATGGGATTGGGCAAACTGAATGCAAAGCTGAAGGAAGATGTTTTGGTAGAAAGCCTAGCTGGTTTGTTTCCCAAGGATAATCCACGGAATACCCGCTTCTCCATCAACTTTTTCACCTCGATTGGTTTGGGTGGTCTAACGGATGATTTGAGAAGATTCCTAAAAAACGCCCCTAAAGTTGTGCCAGCAATAAATGCTGAAATTCTGGCCAACGCCGGGGGGAATCCTTTCAGAGATGGCTCTGCTCCCGCTGGAACTAACAAGATTGCACCAACTTCGTCCTCCTCGTCATCGTCGTCTTCGGACACCAACAGCGAAGACTCCAGTGAAGAGGACAGCAGTTCCGAGTCTTCCAGTGAATCTTCAAGCTCCGATTCTAGCTCGGAACCTAAAAAGAAACGCAAGCGCAAGGACAAGGATAAAAAGAAATCTAAGAAGGCTACTAAGGAGAAGGCCAAAAAGAGCAGGAACAAAAAGGTGGAGAAGAAAAAAAAGGCAGAAAAGGAGCGAAAAAAGTCAGAGCAGGAACAAGAAAAAGAGAAGCAGAAAAAGAGCAAAAAAGAGAAGGAGAAGGATAGAAAACTTGAGAAGGAGAAAAAGAGGGCTGCCAAAAAAAAATCAAAGCGCAGGAGAAAAAGTCAAGAGAGCTCGGATTCCAGCGGCAGTGAAGATAGCGATAATTCCTCCTCCGAATCGTCGTCCTCGAATTCTTCTAGCGAAGAAAGCGACGCCGAGCCTCAGCCGAAGATCAAGCGCCAGGAGAATGTCCAAAAAAATAAGTTCCGAGGAAAGCCTCAAGATAGTGATGAATTCAATTTGGAAGGGCCTGGATCTAGAGAACGCTTCCAGTCAAATGGAAATGGCCGGAGACGCAGAGACAACTCAATTGGCAGAGAACGAAACCAGGAGAATTCTTCGTACGGCAGAGAAAGAAACCGGGAGAGTTCATATGATAAAGAACGGAAGAACCGGAATTCCATTTCCTACGATAGACAACGAAAACGGGATCGATCACTTTCTTATGAAAGGCCACCAAAAAGAGAGAATTCTACTTCTCGCGAAAGGCGGGTTGGGAGTAGTCGCAGTGAAAAAGACATCCGCCGCGGTGACCGTTCTTCCAGAAACGAGAGGCCAGATCGCGGTGAGCGTTTAGATCGTGGCGAGAGATCAGATCGTGGCGACAGATCAGATCGTGGCGAGAGATCAGATCGTGGCGAGAGATCAGACCGAGGAGAGAGGTCAGATCGCGGGGATCATGAAAAGGAACGCATTCGTGCCAAGGAGAGGGAACGGGAACGTGATCGTGATCTGAAGGGACATAGGGAACGTAAAAGAGAACGTGACCGGGACCGTGCTCAGTCCCGTGAGCGTGACGGATCCCGTGAACGCTCACGAAGAGAGCGCA